GGTGGCACGCAGACAGGTGGGGCGGCTCTGAGTCCCCTGCGTCCTTCGAGCTTTGCGCCAGGGAGAGGGCCCCGCCCCACCTGGTGGCCCGCGTGCTCTGCGCGCGTCTCTGAGCCGCTTTGGCAGATCATTGGCTGCGGGTTTCCCGCTGGCTCTGATGCCGTTTTTCGGGGCTCAGATGTGAGGAGAAAGGCGGTTGCCTTTGTTTCTTTGAGAAGGTCTGTTTGGGGCTCTGTGTGGTCAGCCAGGTTGCGGTGCAGGCCAGAGAGCCAGGAGGGACCTGGGCACAGGCAGGGGCCCCCTCCCCCAGGACGGGCTCAGGCCTCCCCAGATGAGTCGGATTTGCTGACTCTTTGCCTTGGGCCCTGACCTCACTGAGTCGCTTTGAAGGGCCAGAGCCTGGACTGTCACGTGGTGGCTGCTCCTAGCCACCTGCTGAGGGCTGTGGCCATGTGCGGTCCCCCAGCCAGGATCTGGGCACAGCGGACGCCCAGGCGTTCTGGGCGGACCGAGTCCGGGTGTCCCCTCCCCGGCCCCCCACCCAAGCACGGTTCCTGATGCAGCAAGTCTCGGGCACAGACTTCCGTGACCCACTGGTCATCTGTGGTCTTCTCGAGGGGCCTGGGCGCCCCTGCCCGGGGTTAGCCCTGTCTTCTGTGCTGGTCGGCAGCCGTCACTTGCTGGGTGCCACGGCGTTAGAAGGGGCCCTGGCAGGCATTTCACCCAGCCCGTGGCTGCTGCCGGCCCCTCGCACAACAGCCTGTGGGCACCCAGGCCCCGAGACCTCAGGGCCGTGACCGGGTCTGAAGCGGGGAGCCAGTGGGCTGGGTTTTGACATGCCACCCCGTGCAGGCCCGCCTCTTCGACGAGCCGCAGCTGGCCAGCCTGTGCCTGGAGAACATCGACAAGAACACGGCCGACGCCATCGCCGCAGAGGGCTTCACGGACATCGACCGGGGTGAGGCCAGCGGCGGGGGCCCCGCCGTCCTCCAGCGCAGTGGGCACGCCCCTGCCCCAGCCCAGGGGGTCTGTGTGCACGGCCTCGCCGGCCACAGGCTTCTGCCTGGCCCACGTGACCCTGCTGCCGTCGGTGATGGGCTGGGTGACAGGTGCAGCCCAGAGCTGGCGCGACCTCCATCCCCAGCACGGGCAGAGGCCGTGCGTGCTGTGTGATGAGCCCTGGCTGGGGCTGCAGCGTCCACGCTGACTCGGCCCGTCCCCTGCAGACACGCTGGTGGCCGTCCTGGAGCGGGACACGCTGGGCGTCCGCGAGGTGCGCCTGTTCAACGCCGTCGTCCGCTGGTCTGAGGCCGAGTGTCAGCGGCAGCAGCTGCAGGTGACGCCCGAGAACAAACGCAAGGTCCTGGGCGAGGCGCTGGCCCTCATCCGCTTCCCGCTGATGACGATCGAGGAGTTCGCCGCAGGTAACGCCCGCGGTGCTCGGGGGGAGCGCGGCCTCCAGGGACACCGCCTGTGACCCCGTCGTGTGCGCGTTGGCCTAGAATCCCGCCAGGAACCCGAGTGTGCTCCTCTGTGTCGTGTTGACCAGAAGCGCGGATTGCGCACAAACGTGCAAAGACGGCACGACCACAGACGCCGTTTGTCCGTCCCGCGTCTCCCTCCGTGTCCCCCGTGCCCACGCGTGTGTGTGAGTGTACCAGCCACGAGGGACCCTGTCTTGGCTCACGTCTTTGGAGGCTGGGTGCCAGCTTCAGCCGCGAAGGGGTAGAAAGTGGCCTGGGCCTTGGGGACGCTGAGCAGGGCGGGGTCAGGCCCATGTGGAGCGGCCCTGAGTGTACCTCTTGCCCCACGTGAGGTGGAACCCCGCCCCTGGGGCTGGGCCTCCGGCTCACGGCAGTCTCATGGCTGAGGTGGAAGGTTCTGGATGGGGCTTGGCGCTGCAGCCCTGTGGCCGGGCTACCCGCTGCCTTGTCTGTCCCGGGCCCATGCCATGTCCGGGCCCGCCGGGCGGGCTGGCCACGTTTTATGTGGTGGTCCAGCATCCCATCAATGCCAGGGTGACGCCTCAAAGAACGTCCGCTTATTGGGGACCCTGGGGCTGGGCTGTTCTCTGGGGCATCCTGGGCACTGCGGGTGTTGGACATCGTCCTTGGCCCCTACCCTCAGTCATGAGGACCATGGATGTCCCCAGAAATGGCCCTGTCCCCTGGGAGGTCCCAGGGTACAACATTGGACTGTCCTTTGCTAAGACAGACAGAAGCCCCGCTGGGCTCTCCTCTGCAGCCTGGCTTTCACCCCCAAACCTGTTCTCCTCGAGGTCTCCCAGCCCACCTGGCTGCCAGTCCCCTGGGGGTCTCTGGCCTGTGACATGGCCCACCTAACTAATCCTCTGGAAGATCCAGGCCCTCCCACGCTTCCCCCAAGCGTGAAAGCTCTGGGAAGGACAGTGTGTGTGTCCCCTGGTTTCGGGGTAAGCCTTCTGGCCCTGTTCCTCTGCAGCAGGTCCCCTGCGGCTCTGGTCCTTGGTCACTTACTATGTTTTAGAGGATTCTCCGGCTTCTTACATTCTCTTTGAGGGTACAAGTAGAGTGAAGCCGGAAACCCCCTCCCAGCCCTGTGCACCACGGTTGGGGCCTCCTGCACCATTTTGTGTGCATCTTCTATGGAGATTAAAAATGGCGATGGTCAACATCTCATTCAGTCCCGTATCTTTCTCATTCACTAATCTGTAGCCGGCTCCTGTCTTGCTGTGAGGGTCTGTGTCGTGTGGGGCTGTGGGGTCGTGAGCGATGCCGCAGCTGGTCTCCTGTGGAAGTGGGTTTGGAGCTGGTAGATGAGTGACTCTTGGGAAGCCCCAGGCCCGTGTCCTGCGCTCTGTCCCAGAGGCGGACGCCTCCAGCCCCGCCCGCCTTGGCTTGCGTGTGGCCCCCCCGCCGTTGCTGTCATATCTTTGTGTCCCGGTCCCCTTTCCAGCTGCCAGTCTGTCTCGGCGGTTCTCCTCATCCCGCTGTGTCTGTGCTGCCTGGCCAGAGGCCCCAGGTCACTTCTGCCTGGGAGTCACCCTTGGCTGCTGATAGCCTCGTGCTCTGTCAACTGGGCGTAGACCTGAGGGGTGGTCCCCAGTGCAGGCCGGGAGACCTGGGACCAGGAGGGGCATTTTGCCCAATGAGCCAGTGAGTCAGCGTCAGCCCCCTTCTGCGTGTCGGACCCCTCCCCAAACGCTGGGGCGGAAGGGCTGCCCACCTCGGGGCTGCCTGGATCCCTAACGTGTTGCAGAAAACCCAAGGTCACCTCTGAAAGATACTGCAGATTCGAGGTGCCTGTCCATGCCGGTCTCCTGTGTCTGGGGTGCCCCCGGCCATCCTTCCCACCTCTGCGGCCTCAGGCCAGACCTCGCTCCTCCCACCCACTTCCCCTGTGCCCACAGGGCCTGCTCAGTCGGGTATCCTTGTGGACCGGGAGGTGGTCAGCCTCTTCCTGCACTTCACCGTCAATCCCAAGCCTCGGGTGGACTTCATTGACCGGCCGCGCTGCTGCCTCCGCGGCAAAGAGTGCAGCATTAACCGCTTCCAGCAGGTGGAGAGCCGCTGGGGCTACAGCGGCACCAGCGACCGCATCAGGTGGGCGCGGGATGGCGGGCGCTGGGGGCAGGGCACCGGGTCATGGGGAGCTAGGTGGAGGCGGCGAGCGCAGCTGCTGGTGGCCCTGAAAGTGGGCCCCACCCTGGGGGGTCCCAAGGCCCGAGTGCACGGGCGGGTGGAAGCCCCAGGGGCTCCCTGGCTCGTGTTCTCTTAGCCGGATGCGGGGTCATCCGGAGTCCTGCACCTCACTCCTCCGTCTGTCAGGTTTTCCGTCAACAAACGCATCTTCGTGGTTGGCTTCGGGCTCTACGGCTCCATCCATGGGCCCACGGATTACCAAGTGAACATCCAGGTACTGTGAGCTCCGGCCCCGCCCCAGACCCCTCCCCAGACCCCGCCCAAAGCCAGGCCCCACTCTAGGCAAGGCCTTGCCCCAGGCCCAGACCAGGCCCCACCCCAGATCCTGCCCCAGACCAGGTCCCTCCCCAGATCCACCTCAGGCCCCGCCCTAGGCCAGGCCCCGCCCCCAACTAGGCCCCATCATTCCCCTGCTTGGATCTGCTCGGTGTCACACTCCATAGTGGAGGGAATGATCTAGAGTCCATGGGTACTATGCTCTCTACCCTATGGGCCCCCTGGCGCTCACAGGCCAGACCTTGTGCGGTGGGGCCTGGGGCAGGGCTCAGCTCTCGCCCTCCCGTGGGGCCCGTGAGTGGTGCCCGGGGGCCTGCCGGCCTCCGTAAGCGGCCTGGCTCCTGCTCCCACAGATCATCCACACGGACAGCAACACGGTTCTGGGCCAGAATGACACAGGCTTCAGCTGCGATGGCTCGGCCAGCACTTTCCGGGTCATGTTCAAGGAGCCGGTGGAGGTGCTGCCCAATGTCAACTACACGGCCTGTGCCACACTGAAGGTGTGTCTGACCTGACCCTGACCCTAGCCCTGACCTGAAGTGAACTCTGATGCCGGGACAAGACACAAACTGCTCCAATCCCAGAACTTTCTCCGGGACCTAACCCTGGCATCTGACCCTGACTGATTCCCAATCCTTGCTTAGTACCCCGACCCTGACATCTGACCTGACCCTGATCCCTTATCCCTACCTGGGACCTTAATCCTGACATCTGATCCCAACTGATCCTCAACCCTGATCCCTGACCCCTCTCCAGGACCCTGACTTGACCCTGACCCACGCTCCTTCGCTCAGGCATGTCCACTGGTGTGGGGCTGGGAGACGTGGCCATCTATTGGGGCGTAGATGGTTTGCCTCCCTGGGGCCGTCACCCGCCACCCTCCACCCAGTCGCGCTGCCCGGGGCCTGACTGTGGTGCGGCCCACCCTGCAGGGCCCGGACTCCCACTACGGCACCAAAGGCCTGCGCAAGGTGACCCACGAGTCGCCCACGACGGGGGCCAAGACGTGCTTCACCTTCTGCTACGCGGCGGGAAACAACAACGGCACGTCGGTGGAGGACGGCCAGATCCCGGAGCTGATCTTCTACACCTAGTCCCCGGCCAGCCGCCTGTGCATGCGGCTGCGGCTCCGCCCACGTCCCTGGTGTCCCCCTGGGCCCGCTGGCTGCCAGTTCAGAGCTGGGAGGTCGCCGTCGGGCGGGACGATCCCTCAGGACTGCGGCCGGGGCTGGCCTGACCCGGGAGGAGGTCCCTAGGACTCAGGTGTAGGCGTCCTGCTCGCTGTTCCTGCAGCTCAGGGCCACCTGGCCAGCTACCCGATGGTGGGACCGTGCAGGCCGTCTCATTTTCGTGTGACCGCACATGGCAGTGCATCTCGGGGCCCCAGCTCTGGTAGGGGACCACGCTGGGCGCCCTCCCTAGTATGTGTGGTTGGGGTGTGTTCCTTTCATCTGTTCACTGGGGACGCTCAGGCCCCCTGATCTGGTCCCCAGGATGTAGGCCTAAGACCCAGGGGGTAGGACTCGGGGGGCTTGCACCCCAACCCCAGGTCCTGCAGGCCATCTGCCAGGCCCTACCCATTTCAGCTTCCCTGGACAGACCCCTCCTGGCTTCAGCCCGTCTGCCTGGGAGGGGCGACGCTGTGGGCAGCCATGGTGGCCACGTCCCTGCTGCCCATGGGTCCAGAGGACCCTGCCCACCTGCCTGTACATAACTGTCCCCGCTCGCCCGCCCAGCCCGAGTGAGCGCTCCGCCCACAGGCGCTGGAGGGCACAGCCCGCCCGATGCGACCCCTTCACCCTCTGGTGTTTCTGCCCCTTGCTGCCCGCTGGAATCTGTGTCCTCCCGGAAGCCATGGAAGGTGTGCCTGCTCATGCCACACCCCAAAAGATTTTTTTAAATAAAAAGAAACAGATCTAAGCTGACTCGCATGCTTCTTCCTGTGGAGCCAGAGGACGGCAGCTGACACCAGGCCCTGCCCGCCGTGTGGCTGTACCCCGTAAGGGAGCCGGGACCCCCCCGCCCCTGCTGTGCAGCAGTGGGGGACCCCGGGTACCCAGGTGGGCAGCACCGCCACAGCCACCAGCAGGGGAGGCCACACCGTGGGCTCTGCCCAGGCAGAGCCCTTTGGAGTCTCCTGGCACCTTCCCAAGTGTCAGCAGGGATCACGCAGGCTCTGCACCTGTTCAGGTGTGCACTAGGCACCCGGGAGTGCTCGGCTAGGTCCCTGGCTGCACCTGGGTGGGGGCAGGTCACCTGGCCTGGGCCCCTGCCTGTCACTGCTGGTTGTTACAATGCCCAGATTCACTTGAAAATTACGAAGCATGCTGGGAAACAACTACAAAAAAAGAAAAAGTAGGAAAGAGAAAACACTCAGACATATTTCAGAAATTGAGTTTGATCAGAGACTTTACGTGTTCGAGACAGTGGAGAACACAGACACATGCGACAACGGCGGATTGCCACAGCGGGAATGCACCTGGCGTTCTGCACCTGAAAACCGCAGGGTCTGCGACGAAGAACTCGGTGGCTCGCGAACCAGGAAACAAGGCAAGGAGGACAGAAGGACAGAAAACCGCAGAGCACGGGAGACGGAGACGTGAAGGGGCCGCGAAGGGCCCAGCACCCGCCGGTGGGGCCCCAGGGGAGAGCGGGCCCCGGGTTGTCCAGGAAGAGGCGGTAGCCAAGGACGTGTCCAAATCAATCAAGACACATTCACAGATCAGTGACCCACAGTGAGATTTTAAAAAACAGAACAACAAAACAACAAATACATAGTCAGTCAAACTGCTGGAACCCAAAGGAACAAATCCTAAAGGCAGCCAGGGGAAAGTACAGCCGTTCCCCCTTATCTGCGGGGGACGCGTCCCATGAGCCTCGCGAGCAGTATACATACTGCTATACATACTGGTTTTTTTTTTTCCTAAATATAAAAATTTGTGATAAAGTTTAATCATAAATTAAACTGTGAGAAATTAACAATAATCACAACAATACAGTGTAATAAAAATGATGTCAGCGTGCGAGCGAGTGGCATTATCAAGGAAAGTGACAATGACTTGAACACAAGACCCGTGACACAGACGGTGGCTCCGATAACCGGGGCAGCTACCGAGTAAGGAATCGACAGGGCGCGTCACGGCGCCGACGGGCAGGACACGGCTGGGTCACACCCGGGTGGGACAGAGCTGGATGGCAAGATTCATCACGCTCCTCAGAACAGCATGCAATTTAAAACGCGTAAAATATTTCTGGAACTTCCCATTTAGTATTTTTGGGCCGCGGGTAGCTGAAACCGCGGGTGGCGGGACGACTGTACCACCAGACTGGAATTCTGCGCCCTCAGAAAGTAGAGGGAAGGCAGATGGCGTCAAAGAAATCGAGCAGCAAAATTGCAGACAGACGCAACTGTGTCAGTGGCCGCGCTGGCTGCGAACAGCTCTAAACGCCCCAGTTACAGGACGAAGACTGTCAGGCTGGACGCGAAACCAAGACCGAACCCTGGTGGCGACACGTCTCACTCCAAGAGCCACGCTGCACAGACGCCAGCCGTCAGTACCGGAAGCGGACGTCAGGCAGGCAGTGCTCGCAGGACATGTCCCATGATAAAACCGTCAACGCGGCCAGAGATCGCAAGGGTCCTGGATGCCGACGCACCGCAGCTGGGGTTCGAAACGGTGAAACCAGGAGCTGACAGAACACACACGAGCACCCGGCAAATCTGTGACCGAAGCTGGAGAGTGACACCTGTAAGCGACAGAACAAGCAGACAGACGGAATGGGGAGGGTCTCGGTCTCGGATCCGAGCATGCACAGCGGCCGACCGCGTCGCCACACGGGACAAACACCAGGGCCAGCGTGGCAGGAAACGGTGGCCGAAATGGGCCACGTTCTCACAATGAAGCGCAATTAGGGGGCTTGACCGCACGCAGGTACGGCGTCTGTGACCACAGTGGAAGCGAATTGCATGTCAATCACAGGAGACGACACAATCCCAAAGTGCCTGGTAACCGAGAAGCGCTTCTCCATGAACGGGGTAAAAAAAAAGATGCAAATTAGGATGTTCTTGGAACTGCGTGAGGCCGCCATTGTGATAAACCAAAGTCTGAGGGTCCTGCTAAAGCAGAATTGAGGGAGAAATTTATACGTTACGTAGAGGTTGGAAAAGGTTTAGAATTGGGAGTCTAAACTTTCAAGAAACTAGAAAATTAACAGCAAAGTCCTCCCCCCAAAGAACAAAATAAGACCAAAAATGAAGCAGAAAACAAATGAAATACAAAACAGACCATCGGCTGTTTTTTTTCATGAAACCATAACAAAACTCTGAAAAAGACAACATGAGCCCAGTATCGGGAATGCAAAGGGGACACCATCGAAGGTCCCGCAGACGCCAGAGACACACGAGGGGCCGGGCTCTGGCTGAGGATGGCCGTCAGGGCAGGCCCGTACTCCCGCTGCCTGAATACTCGGAAAAGGACACTTTCTCCCCAGAAATCACGTACAGGTGCAGCCACTCCAGAAGACCGTGGCAGTTCCTCCAAGGATGCAGGACAGAACCGCGTGTGACCCAGCCACCCTCTCCCGAGTGTGTCCCGGGGAGACAAAGGCAGACCCTCACGTGTCCGCACCACCACGTTCTGTGCGGCACCGCCGGCCACAGCCGGGACGCGGACACAACCTCGGTGTCCTTGGCGGAGTGACGGGCAAAGAAAACGTGATGCGTGTGTATTTTGCAGACGCACGCGTACAGTGGTCTGTTCACACAGGCAAACGGAACACGATTCAGCCTCAGAAAGAAGGAACTCTTTCTGCGCGCGACAACCTGGATGAACCAGGACACGCTGAGTGACATAGGCCTGACTTGGAAAGGCAAACGCCACGTGACCTCACAGGACCAGAGAGCAGAAAGGTGGCCCCGGGCTGGGGCGGGCAGACGTGTAGAGGCTGGTCAAGGGCAGCGACTCCTAGTTGAGAAGTCGCGACGGATCTCCCGTCCAGCACGGTGACTGCAGTGACAACACTATCTTGTGCCCTCGAGACTTGCGGAGAGGGCAGCTCTGCGTCCTTAGCACATAAACACATGTGACCGAAGCTGGTGATGGGTGAGCTAAGTACCTGCCCTGACAGCCACATCTGAGCCTGCGTGCTGGGGGCAGGGCAGCTGGCAGAGTGGCGCAGGCCCCGTGGGACGCTGCCTGAGCCGGGGGGTGGGGTGCGGCGGGTGCTGGCGGAGGGGGACCCCGGCAGCCTTCCCATGTGCAGAACTCCACGTGCCGCTAGAACGAGGGGCCGGCGAGCAAACCAGGCCCCTTGGGCATTTGACCTCTGGGCGAATGGAGCTAACTTTAGTGGCTCAGGGACATCCCCTCGCCCGGGCTGCCCGTGAGGGACGGAGTGCGAGTCCGCCTCGCTGTCCTTCCACACGCGGTGTTTGCAGTGCAGGAAAAATGGAGAGGGTGACACGTGGCCCGTCCACAAGGGGCCGCAGCCCACGGAGGCCCGATGTTGAGGTCAGCGTCCAGGGAACCAGGGGACCGCGGCCCTGATTGTAAACGTGTTAGAGACGCGGGAGAAGGGGGGCAGAGCCAGGAAGAGACGGAGGATTTCAATCGAGAAACACTCTGCAGAGAGAAATGGAAACCATAGAACTAAAAACGACTCAGAGGAGCTGCTGGATGGCAGAGATCAGAACGCCACACCGTGACGGAGGGCGGGATGCACGCGGGTGAGCCACACAGGTGAGCCCGCATCAGCCGAACCTATCGCGAGCTGAAAATGCCTTTAACGTGCCTGAGCCGTGGAAACGGCCGGGGACGCGCACAGAAGCCACACGTGGGCAGAACCACCTCCGGCCCCGCCCGCACAGCAAGGGGACGGGGCGCACTTCGCTGGCCCGGGAAAGGGTCCAAGTCCGGTTCTGACTGAATGAGCATCACTTTCACACCATCATAAAACTGAAAAATCGCAAGTCAACCCATTGTCAAGTCGGGGGTGTCAGTATTTCCAAAGACAGACAAAATTATCCCCCCAAAATAGAAAAAGAAAAACCAGAACAGAGTATCAGAGATCTGTGGGGTCATACAAAATAGTCCCATGTAAAGGTAACTGGGGTCCTGGAGAAAAAAAGAGAGAAAATGGGCAAAAAAAATATTGGAAGAGATAATAGCAGGAATTTTCCAAAATGAATGAGTTATCAACCCACAGATCTAATCTCAGCAAATGTCTGGCAGGATAAATATGAAAAAAACCATGCACCATCATCGCATAACTTCAAAACACAGATAAAGAACAAACTCTTAAAAGCAGCCAGATAAAAAGGGGACATGACTTTTTAAAGGGAAAAGGCCGACAAGTCAGCCCTCATCAGAAGCGAGGGAGTGACGTCTTTAAGATGCTGACAAGCAAAAAACCCAAACCCAAACCCAAACCACAGGTGACAACATCCTTCGTTAGTGCAGGTGGGATAGAGACACCTTCAGGCAACCGAACGCTGAGGACATCTCTTGCCGACAAACCCACAGGAAACAGTCCCCAGAGCCCCTCCGAGGATGCCCTTTGCCCATTTTAACACGTCGCTGTCCGCGGAGCCTGCCGGAAGTGCTGATGGGCCACCGTCGCCCAGCTCCGTGTATCTGTTGCGAGAAGTCCGGGGACAAACTCTCCTGCCCCTGTATGTTGTTCCATCGGCCTGAGGACCGTCGTTGTCTGTGGAACACGATCGTTTTAGGAGGCACTGTCTTGGAGGTGATGCCTCCCCGATTTCCCCAGGGGTCCCTTCAACACGGAGACCCAGGCCCGTCTTCTCCATCCGGAAGGCTTCCTCGAACGAGTTTTAAAACGGCGGTTGCGCTTCTTCCTCCAAGGCTCGGAGGACGCGGCCTGCCGCCCATCGCCCGCGGGGCCGGTCCCTCCTCACTGTC